AATTAGAGTGAGCGATAAGACTTTACATTTCTCGGCCTAAGGGAGCGTTAATAATTCGGATAGGTCGGGGGATGTGGCCTGGGGGATGCGGTGAGGATAGAGTGATTAAGTTAACTGATCGGAAGTTATCGAGAAGGGTGTAAATGGCAAACGATTAAGGGCAGAGCGGAGGTGGAAAGTCGAGGTGCTAATACGGGTCTAGGTAATTGGGGAGGCTTACATTAATTTCCTTAACTGGGCTTATTTTCAAAATAAAAACACTAAATCACCACAATACACCAAAACACGCGCGTCCAGTGTAAAAGTAAAAGTGTTTTGGTGTATTGTGGTGATTTAGTGTTTTTATTTTGCTGTGTAACACCAAAGGTTTCAACCTTCAACTGTAATGGACTTATTTTGCCACTGAAACAGAAAACTTAAAAAGATATAATTATACAGGATGTTTCAAAAAACATGTGCCATCTCTCGTGGGGAGATTCCTCACGTAAAAATATGATTTATTTTTCATATCAACATAGGTCCGATTCTGCTTTGTTTCGTAGCTACAGGGTGTTAAAGACTTAATAATTTTTCGATTTATTATAATTTTCTTCCAAGTACTTTTAGCGTTTCGATTGAAATTTTGAGGGTAAAAGTTTCTGTAAATGCGACATATTTTAAAACTAAAAAATGTCGACATATTCACCAGGTACGTGCATATGGGTTATCACTGAAATATTTTTCTAAAAAAAACATGTACGCCACTGACTTTTTTTCTTGTTAACGAAATAGTGTAAGCAGTTTAATCCCGATTAAAAGTTGTCGCTTGATATTTTGTCAATTTCGGTCTCCTTGATGAGATAATGGCAATTTTATTAATTTGCCTTGATTCAAGTCAATAGCAACCTTTAAAAAAATGTACCTCCCAAGCAAGACAGATAGTTCCAAATCCCTTCGGTTTAAGACTGGCTACCAAGACATAGTTCCTGGGTGCACCCTGTTTACTAATTTGTCACTATATCCGGTAATACCACTGCAAAGTATTTTTGGATAGTATCTGTTACCACTCTGTTACTAGTCATTTGGAATTTAAACACCCAAAATTAAGGTAGCAAATGGGTTGTTGCGTCTAGTAACTGGGACTACGCAAATCCAATCAATTGTTACCACTAAGTGGCAAAATCTACATAGTGACAATAAATACGGAACGGCTACCAGCCTGTGCTACTAAAATGGGTGTATGAAGTACTTGTTACTATATAGTCCCATGCTTAGTCGCAGAATAGTCGCAGTACCCTATATTTTGGGTCGTAAAGTTACGAAGCATTTGGGTACTATATGTTGGTCCCAAAATAGTAGCTGCGACTATGGTTTGTTACTATAAAGTAACGGGTACTATACTCCTATTGACGTCTTGCTACTATAAAGTTGTGGAAACTAAAAAATATTTCTTTATAGTAGCAGATCGCGTATTTACCCATTCCGTCCGTTACCACAAGAATAAAGCTCAATAAAATTGTTTGTTCACTGCGCTGCTAGTGGAACTTCCTAGACAAGTTCACCAGGATAAAGGGTTTATTGGATTAAATTTAGAGAAGTATGACTGGACTTTGATATGACAATAAATTATTTTAAATTTATTTTTGAAAATTCATATACATATTATTATTATGTATGATTGTCATAATCAATTTTCTATATATTTGTAAAGTTCTTATAGCTGCATTTTTCTAGAAATGGCGAGTTGGTGACTATTGATGAATTTAAAGATAAAACAGAGCTCAGAGAAGAAAGTAACATAAGTCAGGAACTAAGGCATTGGGCATTAAAACACCAAATTAGCCACATTGCTTTAACAGATTTACTTGGTTTGCTAAAAAATGAAGGCTTAACATCATTGCCAGGAAACAGCAGGACTTTATTGAGTACACTGAGATATTGTGTCATTGTTCCAATGGGAAATGGAGAATTTTGGTACAATGGAATAAGGAAGATTTTAGTAGAACGTTTATCCGAAGAGACCAACCTAGAATCGGTGTCTCTAATTTTTAATGTTGACGGCTTGCCTCAATTTAAGAGTTCCCCATTAGAATTTTGGTCGATACTCCTAAAAATGCATGAATATCATTGCGATCAACCCATGGTGGCAGCTATTAATTGTGGCGAGTCAAAACCTCCATTACATGAATATTTACATGATTTTGTAACAGAATTAAATGAGATTTTGGAGACTGGAATTAAAGTAAATCAGATTAGGGTGAAAGTAAAAATTCGATTTTCTCATTTATCATTTTTTTTATTCAATTGTTTTTGGTTAATTCATGTTTCACCGGAAAAGACAACTTTTGATTATTAAATGGCACCCTCAATATTTTTTGCTTAATTCAATAGAAAATGAGACTCTGAATAGAATGACATATTATAATACGACATTTTCTCATATGTAATTTTTAAAATTTCATAATTTTCTCAAATTGTAACATCGGTTCATAACGGCAATTTGACTCGAAATATCAAGTGTGTGGTACCAAATTATTCGTAAAAATGCTTTTTTCAAATATGCTAATAAGTCATCCTCGTTCCATTTGGAAAAATTGAGATATGATTAAAAATACAATTTAGGCATCTTTTAACCAGTCAGGAGAAGACACGAAAAACATTAAAAGATCAAATATATTTTTCCAAGGCTCCTAGATAAAAAATTAGTGTTCTTAAATTGTTTTGAGATTAGACTATTAGAGGTAGGCGGAACTTTATAGAAACATATGGAACTATATTGTCACAAAATGCCTGATTGTCCGACTTTTTGGGTGTTCACAGTAACTTTCTAGTTCCAGTAGTTACCATAGTGTACAAAATTTAAATACATTTAAGAATAACGAAGTTCCGAAGTAGTAACCGATACTACAAAGTAACTTTTGGGTAGTAACAACTTAATCACTGGAAGTAGCGGATCTTTTAAAGTAAAAAATGGGTAGTCCCTGCTACTTCTTAGGGAAGAGCCTAACTTTATCGTAGCGAAGTGTGCGTCAGCCATTTTTTACTGTCAGACATTTTTTAATTAAATTTATTTGTTAATATATTTTCATTTTTTCTTTATTTTCCCAAGTTTTATAGTGCTTTAAGCATTTATTTTTCCAATTAGAACTCGAATCCACTTTCGTGCATTACGAAATATTATTTTTAATATTTTTGATATTATTTTTTGTCCTTAAATATCTACAAAATTGAATTAATTCGAAGGCGCGTTAAAATATTTCCATCTAACTCGGTAATATTTGTCAGTAAAGTGACGTGCGTTATTATATTAGTCCTGGAAGTGTCCGAAATACGCGATTAGAAACCATCATTTTCCTCATAAACATAACACGCCATTATTAACTTAACTTTAATATGGCCATGCACCGCGGCTGTCATATCATATTATTATTTTATTTCAAAACGTTTTTAAAAAGTAGAGGTCGCTAGCAGAATGTTTTGCTACTATATAGTAGTAGTTACCAGGCGGCTTACGTAGGGGCGACCAGGCCGCTACGTAGCAGGATAGTGGCCGCTACTACCCTTTCACTTTATAGTTACGAAATATAGCGGCAGCGTTAGTCCCTGGGACCACCCGGTATACTACCCAGTTACCCTAAATTCTTCCCCATTTTAGTAACAGTTACGTGGCGGCTACGTGGCGGCAACGTAGCCGTCGATAGTGGCAGTCTACTTGATGGTCGCTTTTGTAGTCCCAGGAACGTACCTGCTACTATCTGTGTTGCTTGGGCTAATATCATTAACTTGCGAAAGTTTTAAATAAGTACTCACTGATTCCTCGTCAAAAAAATATAAAGAAAAAGTTCCTATAAATATAGGTATGGAAATACTTAGTTTTAGAGTTACAGAATGTTAAAACTTTTTAAGATTAGTTTTTTTATAATTGAAGAGCGTAAGTTCTAAGGGTCTATGTGCCAAAAACCTGGAACCACGATAATCAAATAAAATTATCTTGATAAGCAGTAAACATCATTTTAGCATATAAATATCTATTTTTAAGTGAAATAGCTTCGTTTAAGTAAGATCCCTGAGAAAAAGTAAAGAAAAAATATCTAAATTAAAATGAAAAAAAATCCAAAAACAAAATGAAATAGGAAATCGTAAAAGGGTCTAAGTGCCTCATTACTTACTTCTGAAAAAGGGCTATGTGCCTTAATACATATTAGCAAACTCCTAACACATATTACCAGGAAGGTCCAAGTACCAAAAACAACACAAAATTTTATTCACTTTTGGATGTTTTATTACAAAAAAAATGTACAAATTTTTTGTTTTGTATTCTTACCCACTTGTCCTTAAACGTTTTTGTTCTTTTTTTATACTTTCGGATCCTTTTACTCGCTGTTTTCGCTCCATTTTTTTTTTTGTGTTTGGAATGTTTCGTGTTTGGAATGACACGAGATTGACGAGATAAATAAACATTGCAACATATGATTAATATGATCTACTTCACGGTGACGGCACATTGACCCTTTAGAAATAAAATTACCGGTGGCACTTACAGGGAGCGCCATCTTTCACGCAGTAGATGAGCGCCTAGATATATCGCGATGGCACTTATATTTACATCTTGTAGCTACGAAACAAAGCAGAATCGCACCTATGTTGATATTTTCATATGAAAAATAAATCTTATTTTTACGTGCGAAATCTCCCCACGAAAGATGGCACATGTTTTTGAAACACCCTGTAAGCTCAGTAGTTATAGGAATTAGATTAATTTACACTTAATAATGTTCGGTGATACTAGTTATACATCTAACTGAAACTTTGTATAAAATTTAAATTGCCACATTCAAAAAAACGTTAACCAACATAGTATATTGGTTAACGTTAATAAACGTATAATGTTTATGAATGAATTATTATCATAATTACTAAAATAGATTTTTCAACATTAAAGGTATACTTCCAGGTCCAGGAAACGAACCAAAAAAATCGTCACTTCTTTGTTGTTTAATTTTCCAGAAAAAAACTCACACTTTTTTCAACATAAATTCAACGCCGTTCTCACCGTCCAAGAATAAAAATAGATTCCCGCATTCTTACACGCACGTCATTATTTTGAAAACATACACATTTATTGGAACTACCACCACTCTTAACGTAATCTACTAGATTTTATCACCAGAATCATCACATTTTCTACACGGCCATAAAGCACGCTCGTTTTCCACGTTTTTCACGACGAATTTCCACGAGTTGGCGTGATTTCCCGCCCGATTTTCACCGAGTTATACGGTCGTACCGCCCGGTAGACTGAGAGGAAAAGCGGAACAGTTTTCGGGCTTCAGAGGGAACCGACGGCGATCGAAAGTTTATATTTAGACGGGACCGAGATGCCTAGGATATAATAATGTAGACTTAGAGCGGTAAAAATGTGGAAAAAATACGATTGAAAATACTATTTTAGCTTTCAGGAATTTTAAAACTTTTTTTTTTCTTAGACTATGTTTTTACTAGAGAAAAAAGTTCAGAATTTTAAGAGAGCGTCTAACAGGGAATAGCTTTAAAAAATAGAATTAAATTATTCTAGGTACTGCCGATAAAAAGCCGATGAACTAAACTGCCCGTCAAATTAAATACCACAGAGATTTTTTTACTCATTTTCAACGAGTTGTAACTTTGAAAAAAATGGACCGATTTTGTTGATTTTTTTAGCTTATTAAAGATCGTTTTTCGTAGATTGATCTGATTTTTCTAAATTTTGTATGAGATTTAGTTTTCTATGCTATACAGGGTGTGAAAAAGAGGAATGTAATTTTTGTAATTTTTGTGTTGCTGCCATTTTACCCAAAAAAAAATTTAACTAGAATTATAAGTTCTGGGCAACGACCTCTAACCCAATAGACGCAGCATTCCTATACCGATTGTATTGGTCTGTTTTGTCTGCGCATAAACAATAACCGATGATAGGCGGGGCGAAGCGGGAGGCTCAAAATGTAAACACGGGTCAGGGGCGTGCTTACGTATTTAAATTAATTATTAAAAATTAGACAATTTAAGTCGCCTATCTACTTAGTTTGATTTGCAGAAAAGGTGACTTTAAAACCTTCACCGGATATCAATAAATCTCAATTTCTTAATTAAATTAATAGTTTATTTTTAAAGAAGCATGCGTAATAATATGTTATTAACCAGAGGATATATGCGTTACTATTAAAAGACATGTTTACTGTTTAATGTGGTGAAACGTCTAGAACTACTGGCAACGTCGCTGCTAGTCTTCCTGAATGAAATGAGCCGTCCGTTCCACCACCCTCGCGACGGCCAATGGTCCGTTATAGCGTACTACGTTTAGCTTACGGTGTGTTTGAAGTCGGAATCAAGTCCGAAGTGAACTTTTCAGTGTTTTTCAGTAGTTTTTGCTTTTTGTTTAACGTACTTTTGAATCTGCGAATTTTCAATATGGTACGAGAGTGTAAAATGTGTGGAAAAATAAGCTCAAATTACCCGAATTTGTCTTTTCACAGGTAGGTATTGTTTCCGCCGCGCCGTAATCGCCGTACATAGGCGTCCCACAAAGGGAGCCTCTCGCAATTAAAATAATTTCTAATTATATTTGTTGAATTTTGAGCTATTAAAACAAGAACGTAGTAGCCGGTAATTGAATTATAATTCGTCTCAATTACTACTTAACTGTTGTAGATCATAACAAATTTGAATATAAACGTTGCATTTGAAACTTTATTACTTATAAGCCAGAAAGTGACATTTTTTTCTTAAAATTGCGTCATATTTTGGTCATTATATACGATATTCTAAAGGAATATTGCTCAACAAATAAACAAAGGTGTTTACCCGCCCTTTTTCACATTTTATTGCATTATTATATCTGCCCCTTCGGCCTTGTTTAAACATTTTATGCCACCGTACAAATACCTCTTCCTAGAGTTATTTGTACGGTGTGTTTACCTTTTTAGAATGGGACGAACTGTAAACAATTCTTAGGCTACTAGTTTTATACATACATATATACAGAGTGACCTAGGCCTCCAAAAAGCTTTTTACCTATTACGTTTTGGTTTGTAATTTTTATTTCAATTTTTACATAAGATGGGGGGCCATTGTAACGCACATTTTCAAAATATTTTTGTCAACATACAGGGTGATTCAAACCGCTATACATATGTTTAATACAGTTCATGAAGATTTTGACATTTAACTAAAATTTGATTGTCTGATGAAGCTACCTTTAAAAGTAATGGATTTGTAAATAAACGTAATATTCATTATTATGCGACAGAAATCCCATACTGTAGCACACAGATTTGATACTTTTAATGATAAATGCCTTCTATTGAGAGACTAAAAGGTAATTGCCTTCGTATCAGAGCCATCATAATACAAGAAGAAGATCGAAAGTCAAATCTTGTCTTATATTTTCAAAAAAATACAATTTTCTCATTAAATATTGATTTTAGGTATAGGAAAAGTTATTAATAATACAAGATTAAACAACTACTACACATTACTTTACAGGAAGCTATCGATTGCGGACTAACTAAATCGTTACTAATTACTAATTTTAAAAAAGTTCTTTTAAGATCAAAAAGGTAAAACTAAAAACCTAAATTATCATTTGAGATTAAACGGAAGTTCTAAATAATGTTGCCTATTCTAAACAAGAAAAAATTTATTTATAAGTTTTATAACATCTCTAATTAAATTTGGACGAAAATAATATTTCTGTTTGCTGTAGGTAATTTTCTCAGGAAAATATACGTAAATAAAAATGACTTTTAAGTAAAAAAGTCAAAAGGACAAATTATTCCAAAAGGACTGTCCTTTTCAAAAAGGACAGGTGGCAACCCTAGGTATTTCTGGAATGGAAATTTAATGGCAAATCTACAACTTTAGTTTGAAAATATGTTCCGGCCACCTATGTTTACAAAAATGTCTAAAATGTGCTTTACCATTGCCTCCATATTCTGAAAAAAAAATTGAAAGAAAAGTCACCAACCACAAACCTTATATATTATATTAGATCTTATAACAAAACTCATCTGCCGAAAAAGTGTTAATGTAGTATATTAATATGGAATAAACATTTTACTAATTACTTTACTTTTACTTTACTAATTAAATTCGTTCCAAAAAACGATACGCCACTGGCCATTAGAACAATCCAAATGCGCCTAGTTGCCGGGGTCGGAAATTTTAGACTTCTCTGTCTCTTATGTCCTTGTTTGACACATTGGAATGTTTGATACACTACCAACGAGTATTTATGAATGAGATGTTCGGTCTATATTTATAATGTCTTTGCTCGGGACGTATTTGGAATTTTTACGAAAACTCATCTGGAATAAAAGATAGTCAATTTTTACTCTAACTTGTATTTTTTCTACCTTTCTTAAGAGATATGCTAACAAAATTGAAATTAACTTTAAAATTGTAGGATATTCCTTACTTTTTCAATGTGAAATTAAAAAAAAATGATTTAACTAAAGCAGTTTAATACAGGATCTCTTAAAAATACGACCAGCGAAAAAGTAAAATGATTTTTTTAACCTTATGGGCTGTTAAGTTCAGAATATTAAAAAAATATAGAGATATCAGTGGCGTAACTAACCTTACTTTCTTTAATTTATTTAGGTTAGTTAATAAACTACCAAAAAAAGGAACTCATCAGAAAAAGGAAACGACGTTGACGTTTGGTGAATTACAAGATCCTGTGAATATCTCAGTTATTTATGTACTTTATGACGTCGCACATGACATAAATAGTCCCTCTAGTTTTTCTACCGCTCTAAAGATATACGGCGGCATATCCGATACACGTGCGTGAGCCCGATCCTTTTTTTCTTTTTATCGAAAATAAGAAAAGATCCGTAACTTACGGCCTGGTAGTATATTAAACGGTTTTACGATGTGTTTTGGGTAGTATTTTAGTCCGTATCGGTGGGCTGGAGTCCGTAAAAGCTCTTTAAGGCGATGCTAGGACGGTAATAGAGCCATAACGAGACTAAGTATAGAAATAAACACAAAGAACGGAAATAAATAGCCAGGGAGTATGCTTTGGTTTTATTCAGAAACAGTGGTTTTTAAGGAATACCCTCGATAATCTGTTATTACACTTTATTTTTTATGGAAAAATCTTGCTGTGATTTGTTGATATGGCCTCTCAAAACCTGCTGCTGTGGTCTTCTCGTATGTTTTGCTTGAATAGACGAAACGTTGCAGATATACGCACAGATCAAGTTCTGTGCACATTACTATGACTTGTCGTTCAATCTTTTGTATTCTAAAACTCAGTGGTGGCGTAACCATGAGGTCAAATGGTCAGTGCCCCAAAAAAAAAAATTCAGGAGAAAATTAGAAAAACTTATTTAAATTATACTTTTTGTAAATCACTTTTTTTCATCCTAAATTATTCAAAACTATTCCCAATTTATCCAATTTTCGCTTGAAAACATTTTATTTTACCCATTTTCTCTACTGCCGGTCAAAATTTCATGTTGTCCTTCGTTCCCGCTATATTTTACACATATTAAACTCCAAGTACCGCGGCTCGTGACGCCAGCAATGTCAGGTATACTACGTATAGAAAATATAATGGGTTAAGGTACGATAGACATAGTTTATATTGGCCATTGACCGCGTCATTCAAAAAAGGATTTGTAAAGTAGGCAACTTCATATACACTTGTATTTGGTAGTTTACTGACAGACGATATAAAAAGTGGCGATTTTTGTCTTTGTCTATAAACCCCAGCGTGTTATTATTGTAATTTGTAATATTGTTTATACAGGGTTGTTCACCACATACGACACGGAGTATTATAGCTAAACGATTAGATTTTTACAAATTTTAAGTTTTGGGTTCGTTGAAGGACTATTAGAGCTACAATTTAGAAATAATTTTACAAGATTCAGAGTGTCCCAAATAAGTAAAAAATGCTATAGTTGTATTTTTTTAAATGGAACACCCTGTATATTATTACATTTTTAGATTCTACGATTGAAATAAAGGTAAATTTTATTAAGGTTTATCACACTTAAACCTTACCGTTTTTGAAATATTTTCAATTTTGTGAAATTGCAGTAAAAATTTTAAGGCTTCATTTCTCCAAGGGTATCAAAGTTTTTAATACTAAATATTTACTGAAGTTTATTTATTGATCAGTTATTGTGTTGCAATAATAAAATTATACTACCTTATACAGAGTGTCTAAAATTTTATTTTAAATAATTACTAGCTTTAAACGGCAATAACTTGTTTAATTTTTTAAATAGAACGCCCTGTA